ACCCCCCTTAAGTAAAATGACCGAATTAATAATAACTGCCACTACCCAGCTGATAACAACCACCCACACACACACACACACACACACACAAAAATGACCGAATTAACAATAATTGTCACTATAACCAAGTGACCCCGACTGCCTCTCCAAATGACTAAATCACTCACTAATGGCTGGGCGTGATCTCGCCTAGGTTGACAAGCGTTGGTCGAGACGGTCATGGAATAAGAACAATTAGGACTAGACACATCAGTTACTGTAAATCCACTCACTACATTGACATGCTGGACAGAGAAGAGTTTGCTATTTATTAGGTACAAACTAAAGATCCAAACTTTCTCTGCCTTCGAAAAAGGCGAGCTGGTTTACAAACATGCACACTTATACACGTGTAAATACATTTTTACACTAGCATGTACATGCACACACACACACACACACACACACACACACACACACATGCACATAAACACATATACACACACACACACGCACACACACACGCACATACAAGTACATAAACACATACACAAACACACACACACGCACACACAAACACACACACACACACAGGCGCAAAATAACGACACACAAAAATACATTTTTTTAAACCCACAACACCCCCCCCTAAAAAAAAATCCCCACAGAAAAGCTAAACTAGTAAGACTAAACCTACAGAGAGCAAACAATTAACCCTCGTGAGACTAAACAATTAACCCTCGTGATCCTAAACAACTTACTCTATAGTGAGAGCAAATAATTAATCCTATAGTGAGAGCAAACAATTAACTCTATGGTGAGAGAAAACAATTAACCCCCGTGGGACTAAACAACTAACCCTATAGTGAAAGCGAGCAATTAACCCTTGTGATATGAAACAACATCCTCCCACGCCAGCTTACCTTGCTTCTCTCCGGCCGGGGCGGGCGGCCGCTCAAACAGAGCGATGTTTGCCGAGTTGAAGAAGAGAATGTTGACGAAGCCACCCACGTCCCCCCACACAAGTATGGCGTCGTTGGCGTTGTTGGGGTTTGACCTGTGGGTCAGAGGTTAGGAGAATAATGATGATGATGATGATAATGATAATAATAATAGGTCCAATAACGACAATAATAATTATAAGACGAAGAAGAAGAAGAAGAAGAAGAATAAAAAATTTAAAAATAATAATGATAATTATTTATTT